TAATAATAAATCAGATTTCCTGTAGGAACTATTTAAACAGAATACATTTTCACCTGAAATGATTCATTTTATAAATATATAATATCCCTCTGGTTATCAACTAAACCAACTGCCACTGTTTTATGGTCGAACTTACTTCCCGTAAACAAAGTTATGCTGCCTTCAATGTAAGGATAGAAAAGGCATCTATATTGTATTTTGTTTCTCTGAGGTTATCATAGAACCTTTGGGGATTAGTTCTGTGGCTATTTTTTGTCTGCTGTCAGATTTCATACGTCAACTTTCGCTTTTGACGATGAATCAGCTAGTGTTGCCAACCTTTCGGCGCGAAATCTACGCTTTGTGTGCAACTCATTCAAATATTACTTTTTTTTTCGACACAATCAATTACAATTTTTTTCGAGCAGAAACAACACACCTTAGTCGAGATTATCTGTTTGATTGAATTGTGTTGTGATTAAACAGTTGTTTCATTTTTCAAGTTGAAACATAGTTGATTCAGCCACCAGTCCTTATTATGACCTTTGCTGCCGGCTATCTGGATAAAATTCAGTCAGTTACTATGAAAATGGCGCTCTCGATAAAACAGATAATACTGAAATTAAACTAACAAATTCTTGTGAAAATACATTTGCCATATCAGAACAAAAATACTCCTGATGATGCTAACTTGGTCAGCGAAATGCACAACGAGAGAAAGTATTTCAGTTCTGGTGTGAGAAAAGTGCTCTCAATAAATTCATTTCTAGTCACATGTTCCCATTCCACGTATCTTGCAACTAGTTCAGAGATTTTGAAGTACTAGAGATTCAAGATTACAGAAGGATAAACGTGGGCCTACCATTTTTTCCATATTAAATTGGTTGCTCACAATTTACTGAAAACTCCACATACTAATTTATATGAACTACTTACTCTATCTCCAACTTCAATAGATGTTATTTCCATTCCTGTCTGTTCTCTCAATTTATCTTTGACTGCTTCAATTTCTTTGGCCACCTCGTTAGCATTCAATCCACGGATCACTCTGAAGACTACAGAAGACGGTTCGGCCCTTGAAAATCATTTGTTACTGATATTTACTGAGAAACAATGTGGTGTTGGCATTTAAATCATTTTCTAATAGTGTTATTAGTTTTATTTTCTAAATACAGAAACAAATGTTATGAGAGAAACGATTTAAGGAACTAAGAAAGAATTCATACCTTCATAATAAAAAATCAGGTTCAGATAGGTACATTTAATTTCGAGTTACACGAGTGGAATTCATTCTAAACAAATTTGAGTTTCTCAATAAAATACATTTATTTACTTCAGTGTGATTTTTTACTACTCGATAACTTGACTATTGGGCTTAAAAATATTTGTCTGTCCCTGATTTTAACCCTTTTTTAGCATTCCTGTAGAATTATTTGTTTACTAATGGTAATAGACAGAATTTTATGAGATTCTGGAAATTTTGACAAGGAAGTTTGAAATGAAATTTTAGAAGGTTCGGGTTTGTAATATTAATATACTTTCAAATTCGATGAATTTGAATGTAATAAACTCAAATTGAAATCATTTCATTTTCGATTTTCGTTTCACTTTGAGTTCTCTCAATGGATGAAATAAAAAAACTTTTATATTTATACCTTCCATCTACGAAAAATCCCCGCTCGATTCGTAGGAGTTTCGAAATATTTCCAATAATGTTCAATCCTTGACTCCATGATGTCATCTGGTTTTTAAAATATATGTGTATGAAGTTCAGCTCATTTTTCTTTTTCAATGGATCGAAGTCGGGGTAGGGATGCCCGCCACCCCGAGGTTCTTTTTTCATCATTGACGGAATCATCAAGTCCCTTTCACTTTTATGCGGATTGTCGTGGGCTGGAGAATTAACAAAAAATGTATTAATGGCTCAATCTGGAAATCCATTTTTCTGGAACTGAAGTTTAAAATTTCACATTTGTCTATTTAAAAATTTAGGAATGACTATAAATATAGAGGTGGAGAATTATACAGGCCGTTTCTTTTATCATGTGGTAGCATTGCTATATTCTAAACCGTAACAGATACGAAGACGATTAAATGGGAAAAAATAACTGTCATCGGAAACAATACAATGGTCGAAGGAAATTTACAGGGAGTTATACGGGTTATACGGGAAAAACCAAAAATGCTGTTTTTCTTTTTTTTCGAATGGAATTGTTATTTCGGCGAATATGAAAAAAATGGAGAAGAAAAATGTTATTCGAAGTGTTTTATGACGATGTAATAATGAATATTCGATAAAACGTTTCATGTCAACATGGCCACCAACTTTTTTTTAAATATGGACCTGTCGTTTTCATTACAGATATTGATAAAGCAATACATTCACAATCCAGGGATATATTACATTTGATATTTTTATAGTGTTTCATTCGAAATAACTACCATCATCAGTGACAACAATTTTAAATTACGGTCCAGTCGTTACTTCTTTTGTAAATTATTTCCATTTCCATTCAAAATATAATTCAGAAAACCCAATAAATTTAACAGGTAGAAACATTAACACAATGAAAATTCGTACTTTCTTTTGTAAATTTTTGTATTGCCGTAATGCTTCTTTTAAGGCTTATTTCTCCCTAATCAATTATAATTCGTAATATCTTCATAATTCACAATCCTGGAAAATATCAGTTTCTGGTCAAAATTCGATTATTGTATAATTTGGTATGATCAAATAGTATCTCAATTCATTTACCATCTTGAACGCGTAGGCTTTGCTTGGTTTCTATGGCAGGAAAAATGAATGCGTTGTTGCTGTCAGAAGTTTATGAACATATCAAAGATGTAGTCAAATGACGAAAGGACTGATATGCTATTTAGTTATGCAAAATCAAATAGAAATCTTCTTTTGGCAAGGAATATGTATGGTGAGCTATATCCGAATCATCGTATTCCAAACATCTAAATGTTTAAACGATAAGAAAGGAATTTGAGGGACTATGGTGCATTAGACAGAAAGAAAACAAGAAAATGTGTGGTTACTGGAAGTGTGAGGAATCAAATAAATGTTATGGGTAAGCAAATATTACCACATAAAAATTTACATAGTGAAAACATCTTTTTTTTTTTTTTAAGATTGGCCAGTTACAAAAATTATGCTAATCAAGATTGTTCTTTACGAGAAATTGCCCACGAAATGGGGATTTCTGTAAAATCTACCAGAATCATTTTGAAAAAGAACACATATAAATACTACAGGATACGCAAAGTTCATCACCTCAATGAAAGGAATTACGGAAGGAGAGTACGATTTGCGGAGTAGTTAAGACGTAGAAATAGGAAAGTTGGAAATAACTATTTGTAAAACAATGATATGGACGCATGAATCAAAATTCACCAACAATGATTGGTTTAGCAGAAATGTCCATTATAGGTGGAATAATACAAATGAACATTTACATAGGGCAACTGATTTTCAAGAAAGTTTCGGAATTGTTTGGTAGGGAATTGTGGGAACAAACATCCTTGGCCCTTTCTTTTACGATGATCATTTGAATAGTGAAATGTATCTTCTTTTTCTATTTAATGAATTCGATGGCTACTTAGATGAATTGCCACTGAATATCCGCCATGAAATACAATATTTTCAACAGGACAGCTGTCCTACTCATAATGCAGTAATAGTACGGGACCATTCAGATGCACTATTCCCAAAAAAATGGATTGGAAACAATGGACCAATTAACTGTCCAGCTCGATCCCCAGATAGTACTTCTTTAGATTTTTTCGTCTGGGGATACATAAAGGATACAGTTTTTTCAACACCAAGTACAGATATCGACCATCTCAAACAAAAAATAAGTGATGCATGTATTAGTATCACACCTATTATACTAGAAAATTGCCACAGAAATTGTCTCGACTGACAACTTATGTGCGTTCAACAAAGAGGTCGTTAATTCGAGCATTTAATGTAGTTTGCCATGTGGATTTGATTTTCCGTATTGGTTTCATTTTTCTCAAAAGTTCATGATGAAATAAATCATTTTTCTGTTTAAATGTTGTCACTGATAATGGTGGTTATTTCAAATGAAACGCTATAAAAATATCAAATGTGATATACCCTTGATTTGTGAATTCATCGCTTTATCAATACCTGTAATAAAAAAGACAGATCCGTATTAAAAAAAAGTTGATGGTGTCCATGTTGACACGAAACGTTTTATCGAATATTTATTATTACATCCTCATAGTACACTTCGAATACAATAACATTTCGACCATTGCATTGTTCCCGATGACAGTTAAGTTTTTCCCCATTGAATCGTCTTCGTATCTCTTACGGTTTAGAATATAGCAATGTTACCACATGATAAAAGAAACGGCCTGTATAGCAATTGTTGTAAATGTATGAATGCTTCTATGCGAATCACTACGAGCATCACCACTATAGAAAATTTTCGTCATTCATTTAATTTGTTTGTCACACATTTTATATTATTCACGGCATCAATAACTATGACTTTCATTCTTTTCAAATCTCATCAGTCCTTGAACCACATCAGAATAATAATCATAAAACATTCCACATCAATCAGAAGTGGACCAGATGAGTTTTTGGAATAAAAATATTGTCTTTATATCATATTCCACACATTTTGGAATGAATTCTAATAGTTCGGACTTCCTTTATCTAATATGATTCGAACTCTATGAAAGAACAAATAAAATTAGAATGAATAGTCAAAATATCAATTAAATATGAAAGATAAAACGTGAAGTGAAAATACTATAACACGAATAAATTGAAATGAGCATTTCACATTTTATCTTTCATCTTTTATTTCAACTATTCATTCTAATTTTATTTGTTTTTTCATAGATTTGGAATCATATTATGTCATATTAGACAATGGAAGTTCGAACTAGTAAAATCACCATGAAACATTGTTAATCACAAACATTTCAAAATGTTTTTTCAGAAATATCTCCTATGGAAACAACGCGATATGGAGATGAACTGGTACAATGTATTCGAGAAATTATCTTAGATGTCAAAAAATAGGCAGTGTAATTGAAATTGATCATATTTTTGATTAATCAATTAGACCTGGCTGTTTGGAACCAGAAGACTAATACTTGTGGTTTCTTGTCTTTCTGTTTGTTTATCGTAATTATAAGTGTTGGGTAGTCAAAAGGGCTGATGAAGGACAGAAATAATTGGCATTGGCTACTACAGTTTTTACGTCAACCGTCGAAAGGATCAATCTCCAGTCGAAATCGGCTATTTCGAAAAAATAAATGTATAATCCAAGGAGAGATTTGTTCTTTTTGTTTGTTTGTGATGGATAAAGTAAAAACTACTAAACAAATATTCAAAAACTCAGCGAGTAACATGGCTTTATATTTCATTTTTTTTTTAAATCCTTCCAAAAATTGCAATAATTCAATATGCCGTAGTGTCCTCGATGGCAACACCACCGCCTGGCTCCGTGCAAAGCGGGCGTCACGGAGATGCGTGAAGGGGGTCTACGTTTAAGAGTAGTGAGGAATCTAGTTGACCCAATGTCTCGAAAACATCACAAAAATCAATCTACTTAACTGATTTCTCAACTATTAAACATATTTTCAAAAACTCTGCGAGTAAGATGGCTTTGTATTTAATTTTCAAAAAAATCGGAGGTCTTTTCAACATTTACAATAATGTAATATAAATGCCAGAGTCACTCAACACACATTCATCTCTATTTCTCCGTACTGGTAAGCCCTAGGAAGCTGAAATTTCTTAGATACGCACTAAGAAAGTTTTTCAAATATACCAACAGGGGCGCCTCCCTTGGGGTGCCCCAGCGATGAAAATTACATTTTCACCGCTGAAAAATTGTATGTAGGTTTGTGTTATGTTGTAGATGTGCGATAAGGAAAATATTTTTAAATAATCCAACAAAAGAGCCAGCCGCGGGAGAAAAAAGGCACGTCCATGAAACAAAATTATCTTTTCATCACTGTTTCTCTATGCCCTTAAATTCATTTTTAGTATCAATTGCACCCGTGCGGAGCTGGGGCAGTTCGCTAGTAATGTAATAATGCTGTAGTGTTCTCGATGGCAACACCACCGCCTGGAACCTAGTTGTCTAGATATCGCGTAAATACCAACTAACATAGCGGTCGCGAACATTATCTAACAATTTTGATTCGTGAATATTTAAACTTCGTAATTTTTTAAAACTAAACCAAACAAAAAAAGGATTTTACAGTCACCCGCAGAGGGTCAATTCAAAGTTTAAATTGTTTCTTAAAATACAGTTCAAGTTCACGACATATAGATTTAATGAATTCTGGTACTTTCAGTCATCACTGTTTCATCATAACTTCAGTTGTAACAGAATGTATTTGAAATAATATTAATCTGTTTTTGAAAAATTTGTTTTTCCGTTAATCAGCTGTCGCCCCCATACGAACGACAACTCTCATAAGTAGAGGAAATATTTATTTGTAATGGATGAACTCAAAAACCGTTTTTCTAAAATTCAGAATTTCAGTTTCAGAAAGCTACATTATCAACCAGTAGCATAGGCTATATCCCCTTTTCAAGAAAGTTATCGATCTCTATATGAAAATTGCCATAATGTAATAATTGCAATGTGAATGATTGATTGATTGGCACTGATTACTAAAAAAACCAAAATTTATAAAATCTGAGAGACGTAGTTTTGACCTTGTTCATTCTAATAACAGATTATCTATTTGACAGAATTCATTTTTTTAAGTTGGCCTCAGCAAAAAAAAAAATATAAATCCCCTGTCGAATGAACTGTATTTTTTGGTGAGAAGCTACACAGTGGTGATTTTTCCTAGAGAGTGAGATGATTTTGTAAATATAAAGCCATAGCGAGTAGAGAATGCACTGAACTCGGTCGAAACTGACATTTTCTCGATAGGAACGTATACCGGGGATTTGATTGATACGATAACGGTAAAATAGTTTTTGAAGTTTTCTCAGTAGTTTTAGACTTTATCTATCACAAACAAATGAACAAATACTTTCTCTTCATGATATCAGTTTAGATGAACCTTAAATTGAATTGTCCAACCCACCTCTTACTCCTCTTTTTCCGAAATCAAGCCCCTCACGACGAAGTCTTTATGATATGGGGGATATTGGAATACAGTTTTCGTACATTTCATATATCAGTGATTTTTTTCTTACCGCTTTGTGATGAATCAGTAATCTGGGGGTTGAACGGTGGACCTGGTTTTTTGACGTCTAATCTTTCTGGCCTTTTGAATCCCAAATTATACCTTTCAAGTAACCTGTCCAAATTGTGCTTCATTATCAATTTATCATCTTCTTCTGATGTTATTCCTGCAAAAAAAACTTATAAGATCGTGATTGCATTTAAATCATTAACTGAATTCAACTGATGACAGGTTTTGAAATCATTGATTAAGATGTAAACCTGACAATATTTGCATATCTATCGTTAACACATATTTGAAAAAATCAATTTTCTATTATTTTTTTTCGATTGCTTCCATTAAAATTGGAATTTGGACTCTCTACATCGAATAAAACTTTAATATGGAGGATAAAATTCAACAGTTTATGACTTCTCCACAAAAATAATCAGCATACACACTTCATCTTTTTTCAAATCAACGGATATATTATGAATAAAATAAATGGAGGAAGACAAGACAAGAAACTGAAATCGACAGTTGACACAAATGTTACCTTCTTTTAGAAACAAAATGTTGAAATAATTTGATTCATTACAGTACACTTTTCTAATGAAAAAATATGCAACTAACATTACTAGGAATTGAATGAAAAAATACTTGTTTTTTAAATATCAATAACATATTACTACTTGTAATATGTGATGCGTTTCACTATTCCTCTAGCTTCCTTAAACAAAAATGGTATTCAGTAAATGTAGTAACATACTACAAGTAGTATTATATTGTGGATATTTGAAAAAAAAGTGTTTTTCCATTTAATTCCTAGTAATCAAAGATATCAATTAAGTATCGGTCAAATCAATCAAAAACTAATATTGAAATTTCAGAATCAAAATCGACTCATAATATTGAAAGAAACAATTCGAATACAGTGGATTATTCAAAGTAGACCATTCCAGAAAACCTTGCTTCAGAATCAAGAACCGTTATTTCGTAAAGATTCGAAGGTGAGTATTGTGTAATTCCTGTCATGTTCTGCCTTTTCAAAAAGTACACGAACAACCCAGTTCACTTTGTAGAAAAAAATTAATGGTTATCTGAAATGGAGATTTTCATCTGATAGTTTCAAATTCCCATTGGTTTATGGTCTTAATTGAAGTATATGTCATGGTACCTGACAAAAACGCCAACGAACTCACTCAGAGTTTTTTAGATATTTTAGACTCTCTCACAATCAAAAGGTACATGTTTTTTGTAAGAAAACCGCCCGAGAACAAGCTGTTCTTGGAAGATTGATGAGAATCTTACAAACGCTTACCAGTCACTTCACTATCGGTAATATCAAGAATCATAGAGAAAGCGGAAAATCAATATAGGTACACGAATTTCATTAGTTCGGACTTCCATTGCCTGATATTATATAACATGATTTGAAGAAGAATTAAAAATGAATAGCTGAAAATAACAATTACATTAAACAAAAAAAAAATAAAATGGAATGATAGTGAAATTAAATACAAGTAAAGATAAAACAATTGAACAAAAAATTAAAATCAAGAAATAAAAAAATCAAGAGATTCCAATCCAAGTTACTTCACGACGTTTCGATGGTTAGTATACACTCTTCGAGTGATGACTGGGCTAATTTCTCTGAGAGATGACTATTTATGGGTCATTCAAGTAGGTACTTTCACTTAATCTCCGCTTTCCTTTTTCCGCTTCACCGGTTTAGTGGAAGTTGACTGCTTGGCGAGAGTTGGCCATTGATGGGTCCAAACATGCTCTAAGACTATTTTCCTGATTTGCTGGTTCGCCCTCGCTGTGTGTGTTTCTTGTGCTCGGCAATGGGAACATTCAATGACCTCTTAGTTTCACCGAAATGGGATTTTCCGCAGTCACAGGGTATCCGGTAAATGCATTTCTTGTAATCGCAGTCCGCGGTCGGTGGCCTGGTTTTCGTGAGGCTACTACGGATAGTGTTTCCGGATCTGAAGCATGTTCTGATGTTGTACTTAGACCCAATTCTTATTGTCCTTTCCGATGATCCTCTGATGTAGGGAAATGCAAGCAGTGCTTGCACTTCCAATGCTAACAATGGAACTCAATTGTTCTATTTCTACTTTTATTTTATTCCACTATTATTTCATTTCAGATTTTTTATTTTCAGCTATTCATTGTAATGTTTTTTTTGTTCAGAGTATAACGCGAACTATTTTATGAAATTTCCTGTATACATGTCATATTCGATCACGATCAATTCATTTCGTACTGTCCTACTGATGCTCTATACTGATAGGTGCCACCAGCCAACAATGAATTCGAACTTAATATTTATCATTTATTATGTTGTCTATACCTAAAACATTCCAAGTTCTACCTGTCTCTATTAGATGGCACACGACTTCACTTTTCCGAATCCCAAACTCCATTTCTGTCCTATGAAAATATTTTTGAATATTGTGGATAGTTACCGAGGTGATGTGATATGATAAGCGGCTTTGCCTCTCTCTGCCTCAGCAAATTGCGTTTATGCATTATTTCTTAATTGGATTTGTTATGCTGTATGGCTATTGCTCTTTCATCAATTTGTAGATCATTTAATAGTAGGTTTTATACCTATTTGGAATAGAAACCTTCCTTTACTGGGAGTTTCTTCTGGAGAGTACCAACTCAGTCAGCTGAGAAAAGCTTCCGACGTCAGAATTTGTTATATAACAAGTTTGATCGACTTCAGTATCCGAATCACCTTCGTCAGCCGAATCCGAAGTATTGGTACTAATTGGCAGAATCATATTTCTACATTTCCTGGGAACTCCTCTACTCCATATTCATGTAACAGTAGAACATTTTTTTATAGTTCTTTCAGGGATTTCCAATCATTTTAAATAATATCAGACAATGGAAATCCGAACTAATGAAATTCATCATGAAACATTGTCAATCACCTTCAAACAAACATCAATATACACAGTTTTAAATACTTGGAAAGTTTTAACGTCTCCATCAAAATAGGTTGCCCGTTATGTAAGTCCACCATTTTTGGAATAATATAATGAAAAAGTATGGGGAAAAATTTTTCGGATTTCACTTCTTCAGTACCATACAAAAAAATTCTGGAAAACTTTCGACGAAAGAGAGCAATTAATTTCAAAATAAACTCTCCACAATAAGTTGTAGATCATGCATAGAAGTGACTTTCAGAAACAAACTGAAAGAAAAAGTACTCCCAAAACAACTACTGTCATATGAACATTGAATCATACGAAATTAAAAATACTCTCGAAACAACTAATGTCATATGAACATTGAAATATACGAAAATCATTTATAGAAACGCCACAGTGTTTTGTATAAAAATGGAGGAGTGAAAATCAGAAAGTATTTTTCCAAAATCTATTATATCCTTGAAATATACCCGTTTCAATTGAGAGTATGGAGGAGTTCAAACTGTTTCTCTAGATAAGTCACTGAAATTTGACAGTGTATGGCATGAAGATTTACAAACTTAAGTTTGATGTGAGATCAGAACCCAAAATAAATCATTGGCCGCGAAACAGGCAGCGCTGTTTCGCGGCGACTGGTGAATGTTGGAATTAGTTGTCCTCAAAAGGCAAGCTTCCAAATTCGGTTCGTTGCAAAGCCAATCGTTGACATCGCCCGCCTCTTTCTTTCTCTACAACTTCTAACGACAAGGAAACTAGTTGAAAGCAGACCCCAAAAATGAAGTATTTTTGATCCATCAACACACAAGACACAGAGAACGACTATTGTTCGATGACTGATGTCGGATCTAGGCTTTGATACGGATCCTTTTCGGAGCTCATTAATCTGATTTTCGTGAACATGGTCTTCTGACAATCTCATAGATGACGTCAGGTATGTTCTTTAAGAACAACCAAGTCCAACAATGCATAGGTGGTTCAACTAAGTACCACCGATTGCGGGTTGGCTTTCCTTGTTCATCTTTCACTGCCTGAACCACTGTGCATGCTGTTTTTGGCGAGTGCATTGGCTTGGGATGTGAGGGTTGAGCAAACCGGCCATCGGATGCCTGCTTCCACGTATCGCCGCTGGATACGGGAATGACAGAATCACTTGTGGTTCCGTTATTCCCTAACTGAATGTCATCCCAACGATCGTTTATTCATAAGGTGTGTATCCGTGCCAAGAGGATGTCTCTACGGAACCTTCGAGATATCGGGCGCCCTGTTGTCGTAGCATCGCCTTGTCACGGTAATGCAGGGCTCTGCGTTATTGATCTTCTTTCCCTAGCTACTCGTGGGACTTTTATGGAAAGAATAAAATCAAACAATTTTTCTTACGCTGAGTCTACAGAGGAGATAGATGTCGAGTTTACGACTCCAACTGACCTCCCTGTAAATTCAGATCAGGAGCGAGTCTACAGAGGAGATGGATGTCTCGCTTACGACTCCAACTGACCTCCCTGTAAATTTAGATCAGGAGCGAGAGCTTCTCAACTCTCCAACTCCTGATCCAATAACTGAACCTAAAAAAAAGGTTTGGTGTGCAGCCAGGAAACGACCGAGTCGTCTCCTGAAGAGCGGGTTCCTTATGAAACCGCCTTGCACCAAATTCTTGAGCGGTGTACGCAGAATCTGTCTCAAGTGGAAGAACAAACCCCCATGAGCAAGTTAGCAAACATTTGCGCTCAAGTGATGATTCACCAAAAACAGAAGCAAAAAAGCCCTTCACGGTTAAATCAAAGGCATCGTCAGGTGTAGCTGACGTGCAAAAACCCTCATATGGGAAGGTTGTCGCGGGAATCCAGGTGGAAATCTTACACCTTGTGCCTGCCTCGATGGGGACCAAATAAGGTTTTTTAGAGTTCGGCAGAGTCGTACTCTTACCATCTGACCTGTTAAAACCACTCACCATCCAAACTAATCGGCTTCCTTAAGAAGCTGCTTTCATTTGGTCGAGTGTAAATAGGTGTGAGCTACAATAAACCCTTGCGTGTTGCTGGGGAGGGTCGAATAGACCCACTCACTTTGGACCTAACCTAATCCTGGTGTAGGATTGAAAATCATGTGTTTTTATGCTTTGGTTTCATATAGTTGCCCTGCCGTCAAAGCTGCAGAGAAAGGCAGAGGGCCAATCTCCTACTACAGCCGTTGTCGTAGCTTGTCGTAATCGTCTTGAGGAGACTTGCTTATCTGAAATGTCTTTCCATATAAGTAATATTTTGGCGGGACGGTAGCTTGGTGGTTTGGCGATGGTGGTTTGCTCCATTCACTCAATCGATCGCTGTGTGAACCGGTGATTCGAATCGCAAAGCCGAATGACCCATTTTCACTTCCTATCGTCCGTGTTAGGAAAGGTTGAAAGATAAGACCTCGTTAGTCCTTAGCTCGCACAAGTTTCGACTTTTGAGAGTTGTCGTTCGTAGTAATCGTAATCAACTCTGTTATTCCCTATGGAGGTTTTGGGTACTAATCTTGTAAATCCGAAAAAACGCTCAAACAGGTCGATTTTTATTGGAAGGGGGACAGGTTTTTCCCCATTTACAGCGTCGTCACTTCAACCCCGGAGCAGAAGGGTGAACAACCCTTGGAATTTTAATAGGGAATAGGGGGCGAGTCGCACATCGTTTGAAAGATCTTGGGATTCTCTAAACAACGGTGTACATTTTTTTAATCTGGACGTATTTAAAAGAGTTTTTTTCTATAATTAACTTTTTCAATATTGTTAATAGCAACAAATTGTTGTACGCCACTGCCATTTGTTTCTTACGCTACTTTTTCGTTAATTTTTCAGTTATGGTTGAAAAATGCTGTTTCTATTTCTCATTTTTATGTTAAAAGTGATATCTACATAATTACTAGTAGTGAGTGCCGAAAAGCTAAAGGAAGCTAAAGCTAAAGGAACAATGGTTTACACAACTGCAGAACTGTACTATGTAAATAGACGTTGTGCTGCGAGAGCCGCTGTACTGTTCAAATCAACAACATGGGAAGAATGTGTCGCGACAGTATGCTTTCGATTCAATTGCAAAATTTCGCGCAACTGGATCTGTAGCAAATAAAAAACCACAAATCGAACCACCAGTAACAAATGAGGCGACACAAATGGCAATTCTGGGCCATGTTGAGCTTGACCATACTTTGAGCACAAGAAAGTTAGCATTTGTTTCCGGGGTGTCACGAACTAGCATTTGGCGTATTTAAAAAACCCACAAAATGCATCCTTTCAAGATCAAATTAAAGCTAGAACTGAATGAAGATGATTCTAATCGACGCTTGCAACTTTGCGAGTTGGTTAGTGAACGAGCGGTGGAAAATCCACATTTTGTTTTCAACATTTGCTTCAGTTATGAATGTTCTTTTTTTCTAAATGGCACAGTTAATCACCATAATTGTCGCTATTGGGCTGATTCAAATGTATGGGCTGGAATTTTTGGTGACCGTATTGTTGGCCCATTATTTTCAGAAGGCAACTTAACCGAATAAATGTATCTGGAGCTTCTGGAAGATACTATTAATACCCTTCTCACTGATATTATTGAAAATGACCACAATTATCGGGAGAATTTGTTAATATTTCAACAACATGGGGCTCCTCCGCACTATGCTCTGCCTGTTTGTCAGTATTTAGATCAATAAAAGGATTTGAAAAAGCTGAATACACTTATTTGAATTGATGAATCGAAGAGGTTTTGTATTAAAGTGTATAATATTTTAAAATTCTTGCAAAGCGCTTTCGACTTTCGTCATCATCAGTGCTCACCTGAAAGTAAGTGATCTAGTTGAAAAGGGAATTTAGTGATAATTGAAGTTGTAATTTTTTTTTAAGGTCAAGAAATTTGGAAAAATTGTTTGAGATTACTTACTTGTCAGGCAACAGGAAGTATCAAGATAAGTGAATTGTACATTGTAATATTTAAATTATATAAAACAAAATAGGCTTATAGCCAAGAAAATACATTTTTGGATTCAGGCCATGTGGTTCAGTCAAAGTATCTTATGAAGAAGGACAACTTGAGACAGAATGTGTCAAGTGTCATGTTAAAATAATGGTACCAACTTGAGGAGTG